AAACCATCATGGGTACCTTTTACGGACACGCGGTTCCGGGATCGTTGTTCCTCTTCTTGGGCCTCTGGAATTTCCGCTGCTCCGTTATAAACTTCCTCGCTTCTCCGCAGTCCTTCGCCGCGCGCGTGTGGCATCCCATGCCGCTTCCCGGGCACTGGGCGCGAATGCAGCTATACACGGTGGTGGGAGGCGGCTCAGCGTACATGATTACCGAGGTGATTAACCTCTTCATGAAGTCACATGCGATGCTCAACAGCTACGAGGTGCGTATGGCTGTGTGGGGGCGGAGAGGGGAGAGAGAGTGGGGTTGAGTCGACTCAAAATAACCTCTTCATACAGTCGTATTGTGTCCTGCAAAACAGCTACCCGGCGCGTGCGGCAGTGCGGATTGGTGGGAGAGTTTGAGACATTACTGTATCCACCTTTTCATGTCATTTGCTTCTAATAAGCTGCAGTCTCGAGTCGCTTTAGACGCTGTTTTTTACCTCGGTTCATGTAAGTTGTACGAGTTCCCTCGTCCCTCCACCTCTTTCGCAGCATCTGTCAGTCAATGTCGCGTTCGTGGTGACCTACAGTGTGTTCCTCCTCCATGAGACCACCAGGTAATACCTTGACTTCCGTTTTTTCCACCCATTCCATTTCATTCATGTCAACTGCCAAGCGAGTTTTTTTCCTTTTTGATATCTCCGTTCGCTAACCAACTAAAGCGAGAGCTCGAGGGTAAGTTGGTGGCTAATCAAGGTTCCACCTCGCCCCTTTGACATGAGTTCAAATCGATAACCCTGCACAAAAGGGACAGCATTCAGTCTCAATGCTACTCTGAGTGGAAGTGTTGCAACAAAGCCTTGACTCTAGTGGCACACATTCAACCCTCCAGCTGTATGACGCACAGCTCTCGATCTTTTTGCTTCCCCTTCTGCCTGCCGTGTGACCCCCGTCGTCCAGGTACCTGCCATTCCCCAAGGGCACGCTGCATGTGATTGCATCAGTGCCATACACGTGTGCGGCGGTCATGTTCTTCTTCCACTCCACGGGGCACAACGGCCCCATCGAGGCCCGCTACCACATCTTCCTCGTCCTCCTCCTCTCAGCCACCGCCCTCACATTGCTCCTCACCGCCGCCTTTCCCAGAAGCTTCCTCCTGGATACGCTTTCGAATTTGGGAATCATACTTCAGGGCGCGTGGCTGTTGGTGACGGGTGCATCACTGTATAGTTTCATGCAGCCCACGCACTGCTACACCAGTCCCACAGAACTGGATTACAAGCTGGTCTGCGAGGAGCACAAGTGGGAGCACATGGGGCTGGCGTTTGCATATGTGCATTTGGCAATGCTCATCTGCCTTGTACTGGTGCTCGCTGTGGGGTTCTATGCGCTTGCTGCGCTGAGCGCTCCCAGCAGCTCCATTGATTTCATTCTTGGCACAGAGGCTGCTTCGGATGGTAGCAACTCGAGCAGTGCTTTTGTCACCTCTGCTGTTGCAAGTGCTGTGGTTCATCCCTGGACTTCTGATGCTGCCATGAAAGGTCAATCCATGCCCATGGCTGCTGCAGTTGTGGACGTGCAGGGCGAAGAGGCAAGCTTGCTTGGAGACAAGGAACGGTGCTCTACGATTGGTGTGTAAGCGCAGAGGGAATTGGTGCATAGCGCTATGCTCTAGCAGACTGATTATATGTGTTGCAGGGTGTAGACTTGTCGAACACGGCCTGTTCGAGTCAATCAACGGCCATGTCAAGTATGCACTCATCCTACTAATATGAAAACTCTTGCTTCTATAATATACAGTACCAGGCAAATGGTGAACTCAAATGTAACAGGACGGCTTGACTTGACCATTGCGTGTAGTGGTCTAGACTTGAATGCCTGGAATAAAGAAGACTCCAAGCAAGAGGTGGCAGGGGTGCATGCATACGCCTGTGAACATGTCCGGTAGCGGGGGGGATAGGAGTTGAGACTAAAGAGAGATCCGTGTCCATGTCCGAAAAAGAATGGGACATTTGTCAAAATGTAAGGTCCTACCGAGAATTGAACTCGGCCTTTCAGATTCAGAGTCTGGGGAATGTAAGAATCAGGGGAGTGGAGTTCAGGCGGAGAACCTGTGTGGTCATTGCGACGTGGACGGGTGGAGGGCAAAGTGGAAGCGTTTCGCTGCCACGTGCGTGGTTTCTAACAACCATCAGGACCAAAGCACACTTGCCGGCACGTGCGTGACGAGGCGAGTTACCGCGGCTGCAGTGCGCATAACGCGCGGCGCATTCAACCTCGTGCTGAGCCGCTGCTCGTGCTGTAGTACGATCCATGATTCCACTCAAAAATCGCTGCGGTGCTGGCTCACCTGGACCATGTAGTTCTTGCATCGCGGGCACGAGTTGTTGTACAGCAACGCGAGAACGAACTCGTGCTGCCCGAGAGCCTCGTCGAACGACGCTTCGCTCAAATTCACAATGTCGCCATCGTCGCCGTCCGGAATGTCGGGAAGCTGAGGAATGTCGTCATCCTTCGCTTGGTTCTCTGTGGTGATAGCTACTGGCAAGAGGGTGGCGAGGATAAGTAGGGCGAGAAGAAGAGTAGAATCATTTGCAGCCATGGCGGTCGATACTTGAAATGGATAAGGCGGATGGAGAGAGATGATGTGATGGATGGTCAGACAGAGACGATCTGCCCGTGTGTATCTTGATTCCTTGTCCTCGATGTTGGGGCCGGACACTGTTCGAGCTTTCGTGTAGTGAATGACACGATATTGCCTTTCCAGATCCAGCCGAGAAGAATATTCACTTGTGAGAAAATAGACTTCCACCTTAGTCATCATGAAAAATACCATCTCATAAAATGCGTATTCATACGGTACTTTCTAGACAAAATATTTGTTTGGACTAAATATTCTTATATCATAATAAGGCATAATCATTGTACATCATACATAATACTGCTTCATTAAAGGTGAACTTCGTTATAAAATACACCTACTTGGTAATGTGTAACGCTGTACTGCGATCGGCTAAAACGCAGATCTTTGGAATCCCCTCATGCTGGCGCGAGCAAGCACCAAGCGATAGCTGAGACCTGTTGGGCAACTTCAAGGGATCCTTGCAGATTCCAACTTGCTGCTTGCAGTTCCTAGTCTAAGATATTCCGCTTCCGAACACGGACATCTCGAGGATTAAGTTAATCGCCTCTGGTGCTGGCTTATTGAATTCGTGGCCGCGATACATTGCAGGATTTATCGATAGTGCTTCATTGACGCAATGGGGGTGAGCATCGTTCATTTTCTTGAAAATATTATCGTCGGTATTCGTGCTGACTAATCTCTCTCACTCGTTGCAGATCTCTGTCAAGGTGACCGGAATTACAGACAAAGCGGCACTTCAAGACATTTACGATTTCTTCTCGTTCTCCGGACCCATTGAAAGCATTAATATTGAGAAAGAGTATGTGTGAACACGTCACGTCCCTGAACTTTCGCTATCGTCAACAGTGACGCGCACCAGTATTTCTTCTAGGAACATAAATATGACGATACTTATTATGTCCGCGGTTCGGCTTCATGTTGTGATTCACGTTGGCAGTGCGGAGGGTGACGTACAGACTGCTCACGTGACATTCTCCGAGCAGAAGTCGATGGAGACTGCTCTTCTGCTGACGGTATGATTCCACATTCTGGGCTACTTTTGTTGGTACAAACCCACTTTCCACATTCCCATATCCGTAGAGTGATGATGCGCGTTGATAGTGTCAATTGATTCAATGATCCGTCTGTCAACTCCATGTGTCAGGGTGCCATGATCTTGGACAAGGTCGTAATCGTAGAGCCAGCAACAGACTACGAACCTCCCAGCACGGCGAAGTTTTATGATACATCCAAGGGAGAAAGGAAGGTAGGCACGCAATTTATCCACCTGTTTACACTAACACAACGAAGAGAGGGCGCATGACCTTCACTTTGATATACGATATCGAAACTTACCAACATTCTTGTTCCTGACACTCTTAGGAAACTCCGAGCAGCCCAGCGACCAACATTGCCACAGCAGCTCAAGAGATGGTTCGCTCACTCTTATCTCGAGGATACACCCTCGCTCAAGACGCTATGCAGCGCGCTCGTGACCTGGATGCTAGGCTGGCTTTCTCTAGCTCTGCTGCTGCAGGCACTGCTGCCATTCGTGATGGCATTGTTGCCCTACCATCCACAATCTCTGAAGGAGCCAAAACCGTTGGCACCAACGTCTCAGAAGGAGCCAAGGTGGTGGGCTCTACAATGGCAGAGGGTGCTAAGGCTGTTGGATCAACAGTCTCAGAGGGAGCTAAAGTTGTTGGATCAAGCGTTGCAGCCACTGCTGATACGATCGACAAGAGGCTATACATCTCACAGAGTTTCAAAGCAGGGACAGGAGCCTTGGCCAAGTCCTTGAGTGTCGTTGATGAAAAGCTGCACCTGTCTGAGACCACCAGAGGGGCGTTTGTGGCTGCGGAGACAAAGCTGAACGAGGCTGGAGAGATTTTGGTGCAGAATAAACTCATTGCCTCCAGCAAAGACTTCGTGATGGGTGTCACTTCCAAGATATCAAACATGGTTGAAGGGGAGGCGAAGCCATCTCTAGATGCTGCCGCTTCCACGGAGGGAAGCAAGGATGGGGACGAAGCAGCCAAGCCAGTCGAGCCTGAAACTGAGGGAGCAGCTGCCAAAGACACTGTAGCCGATGCTTCTCCAGCTGCCCCAGATGCTTCGCTTGTTGATGCGGCAGCAGCAGAAGCGACCAAGACAGCATCAGATGCTCCCGCACCAGCTAGTAAGTCCAAGGAAGAAGACACCCCAGTTTTCTGAATGTGCCCTAGTCCAAGTTGAATGTTTCATTGTGCTTGATGGCCAGTTACGGTAAGATTCTGATTCACAAAAAGAAACAATCTACTGTATGGTATGCAATGTATGATAGGGAGTCTTCCGAATCAGATGTCACTGAATCCTACAACTCTCCTGTTTGTAGACACAGTGTGCACTACATTCAACCCTGCTCCTGGAGTGCTGACAATGATGCATCTAGCTTCTCTGCAATGCTCCCAAGCCACACCTGCGGCCGGAAAGGGGAAGAAGCAATCTCATAGATACGAATACAAGGCCAAGAGACTTGAACAAGTCTAAAAGCAAATTAACAATTATGGATGCTGCTTCTGTCCACACCTGATGGAGAGGCGTGAAGCCTCTGATTGTATCGCTGCCCATAACAATCACCCCGTCTCCATCCCCTAGGGGTTGTAATATTGCAGCCTGTAGGACATGGTTATTTGCATGGGTTAGCAAGATTATGACGCATACTCTGCCAAATACAGGCATCAAAGGGAGCAGTGACGAAAAGAGCTCACCTGAGTGTTGTCTGGAAGGAACTCAAAGAGCTCGTATCTAGCTGGAAACAAAATGAGGTTAGCTAAATAGTTAGCTGCTCAATAGAGAAAAACACAGGGGTGAGGGTGGTGAAGAAGAAAATAAAGAATCCCGATACCGTAAGTGGAGAACCGCCCAAGCATACCACAATTCACAATCCTTTAGTGTGAACATACGGCGTCCAGACTTGAGAACTGTGGAACAGATAGAGCCCGAGAGTAGCTTCTCAGCATCCATTGCGGCAGCAATAGTGACACCAGGCATGTTGGGTGCTGGAGTCATGCTGCCTACTTGCAGAATACACTGCCCCTTGAAAACAATGACTAGTGAACGGCAGGGGGTGTTGAAACTGAGAGAAGTCCATGCCCTGAGACGGGAAACAGTGGGACAATTCAAAGAAGGTGATTAACACAACCACTCCAAGGTGAGATTATGGAAAACGGTGGGGCTGTAATATGCTCAAGCACTAGTTCAATGAACTGTAGAATGTAGAGGAGGGAAGGCGCACGTGCCAGTTCAACTCTTGTTGAACGGGTTGAGGCAGGGATGGCAGCATGCGGTAGCAGGGAACACCATTGAGGGCCACCTGAAGACATGCCAGGAAGGGAAGCACAGCAGGTTAGACTGACAGGAAAATCATAACATCTTAATTTTTTGGTGTAGCAAGGTCCAATAATGCTTGCGACAGGTGTAGAGTCCATCAATGGTTCGGGACCTACCAACGCTTGCAGGCTTGGGCCTTACCGGGGTCTGTGGTTTGGGTCGCAGCGCCAGCCACGAGAGTCCTGACAGCACCATAGAGGCGGCCAGGACAAGGCAGATGACGTCAGCGCGTGCCTGCGCGCTGGCAGAGAAACGGCAGGCGAAGTAAGGGGGAGCGAATGGATGGCGCGCGGTGAGGGGAGGGGAGGGGCACATGGTGGTGGGTACGGAGGGTGTTCGGAAGGGGGAACTGGCAGCCCACGGCGCGCTGGACACCCCTCTCCTGGGAGGTGCGAGCGCACAGAAGCAGCAGCGAGCTTCTCTCACCTGCCCGCGTCAGCGACGGCAGGAATGCCCCACACCACGCGGTTGACCAACACCACCGCTCCGCCCGCCGCTCCCGCTGCGAGCGGCAGCAGCCTGAGCGCGTCCGCATACCGCGTCACCCAGTCTTCCGCGCCCGCGGCTATTGAGGACTGCCCGTTATTAGTCGCGGAGCAGCGGACGCGATTCTCCTGACCTCCTCGGCTCACTTGCAGCGGGGAATTATTGCGGGCTCTTGCCAGCTTACGCTCCTGCAGACTAAATTCTTTCCCGCCATTGACTATTCGAGGAGCGAGGAAAACAACAGACGGACGCAGAAATGCGTGCCTGTGAGCTGAAAATGGGGCGGTTTTCGTGAATAATGGCCGCACATGAAGGTTCATAGTCGACATGGTGAATGGCTTGAAATTGGGGTATTGGTTGTCAAATTTTGATGGCACTCACGAACATGTCTCTCAAAACCCGTTGTAATAGAAAATACTTCATATGAAATTCAAGTGACTCCACATATCCAGATCTTCATGCAGTCTACCTGTATCGAGTCTGGAAATTGAGTTGGAGTGTTTGCTGGACGCCACGTCAAAAAAAGGCCGTCAACCAATCAAATTGGGCGATCTGACCCTCCAGAAGCCAGGCGGGAAACAATTCCCGAGGAGAATGTCAGCTCCCTTCCAGCGAACCCGAAATCTGGAAAACCGCTAGCCGTCGCAAGTCCTTCTAGAACGTCAAGGATTGCCTCGTCACTCCACGTCCGGCCAAACCTGAACGACCAACTACTGGCGAAACGGCATTGACCGACCTTTCTGGACGTCGTCGCTGTGCTTCTGCGATTCGTTCTGATGCCGTCAGTCGCGAACTTCGCCTCATCCAAATGCACAGATCCTCCTCTCCATTCTCGTCGCCGTCTCTCCCAGTTCCTCCGCCTCTCCCTGTTTCTCAAAATCCTCTCTGTCATCCTCGAGCATTGTTGCATTGTCGCATCTTTTCACGGATCTCCGCTCATCTGCCTGCTTCTGAGAGTTAGTGCTCAGATTGCGGCCTAAGAAATGGCTCCGCGGAGCTGCCTTGTGGCGCTCCTTGCATTCCTCCTCGTATTCCAAACGCTTTCAGGTAAATTCGAGCATAGCATAAAGCTCTTCTTCATATATAATTTTCGTTATCCGCATTGCAAGCTTAACTCGAATTCCGTTTCCATTTCTCTTGGCAGCTGCGCCGCAAGTGCAGGCGAAGGAGACGAAGGACGTGGGTACCAATGGCGACCTTCCCAGGGTTGAGGAGCCGATCGGAGCCGTTCCCACTGGATCGACCACAGACACCCAAACCCAGGAGAGGTACGCATTCTCAATCCTTGATCATGTCAGCAGCCTTTTTCGCCATGTGGTTCATCTCTAGCATATGCATTAATGCTGTGCTGACGCGACGCGTGGTGGCGGTGCGGCAGGGAGAAGGGCTCGATGAGGCGGTCGGGCGAGAAGTTCCAGTTCCAGGCGGAGGTGCACCGGCTGATGGACATCATCATCAACTCGCTCTACAGCAACAAGGACGTCTTCCTCCGTGAACTCATCTCCAACGCCTCCGATGTCAGTGCCTCTCAGCCTCGCGGCAGTGTTGCTTTTACAGTTTACCATTTTGACCCTGGAACATTCTACAAGGAAACAAACAAGAACCCAGGAAGGGAAACATGGACGCTCTTTTATCTTTATTCTTTCTGCTGGTGCCTTGTCGCGTGTGTTCAGGCTTTGGATAAGATTCGCTTCCTGTCGCTCACGGACAAGACTATCCTGGGCGAGGGCGACAACACCAAGCTCGAGATCCAGGTGCGCCTCGCTCCCTTCCACCTCTGCTCCGCAGTGCCCAGCTTGCTTTCAGTGTCGCATTGTTGCGGATCCTTGCATTACGCTAATCCTGGCCTTGTCGCTATTCCTCGCGTGGTTGCTGCTCCTCCCCTGCTCGCTGCGCTCATCGCGACCGTTGGATGCGCGCGCAGATCAAGCTGGACAAGGAGAACAAGGTGCTGTCGATCCGCGATCGCGGTATCGGCATGACCAAGGACGATCTCATTAAGAACCTCGGCACCATCGCCAAGTCCGGCACGTCAGGTGAGCCTTCCTCTTACTGACTTTCCTCCCAGGTTATTCGCACGCGAACGGCGGAATTTGTGCTCGCAATGTGGACTCGCAATGTGATATCGCAAGGGCACCGTGGAATGTACCCAATTAAGTGTTAACCTGTAGGAATGCATGGATGCATAAATACATCCGACTCTCAACCACGTATCTTCTCCTTTCCGCTTTGTGTATCGGCGCGCAGCGTTCCTGGAGCGCATGCAGAAGAGCGGCGACATCAACCTGATTGGTCAGTTCGGCGTGGGGTTCTACTCCGTGTACCTGGTGGGCGACCGCGTGGAGGTGCGCTCCAAGCACAACGACGACTCCGCGTGGGTGTGGGCCAGCGCCGCCGACGGCAACTTCGAGGTGTACCCCGACGACGCGGAGGAGGACGAGCCGCTGGGACGCGGCACGGAGATCCGCATTCACCTCAAGGAGGAGGCCAGCGAGTACCTGTCGGAGGATAAGCTCAAGGTGAGGAGAGGGTGCGAAGGGGGGCATGCTCGTGTGCGTATTCGTTATAAAGGTTCGAGACGTTTCAAGACACGGAGATCCGGATTCATCTCAAGGAGGAGGCCAGCGAGTACATGTCTGAGGATAAGCTCAAGGTAAGGAGAGGGTGGCAGGTGGGGAGGAGGGGCATGATCGTGTGTGCACCCGTTATAATGTTTGAGATGTCGGAAAGAACGGAAATTCGGTTTCATGTAAGGGCGAGGCGAGCGATTGCGTCTCGGAAAATAAGCTCGAGGTGAGGTGGAGGAGGGGCGTCCTCGTGCGTATCCGCTGTAAGCTTGATTCGAGAAAGTGGGCGGTAAATATCAGCTCACATAAATTATTAGTCAGAATAAGGGTGTGGTGCCGATCCCTTCCTTGTTCGTTGACGCCGTGTGCTGGCGTGCGTGTCGTGGTGGTTGGTCCCGTGTGTGCTGTGCGTATGGTGTGTGCGCGTGGAAGTAGCTGCGTCAGGTTCTGTCACAACTTATCTGTGTGAAGAGATATACACAATTCATAGATTCCCCGTCTACATGTCCCACATTCTGACTTACATGGTCTCTCTGCCTTCGTCCCGTGCGTTCTGTCGTGCTCCCGTTTCTGTTGCGTCCGTGTCACGTGCGCAGGAGCTGGTGAAGAAGTATTCGCAGTTCATCAACTTCCCCATCTACATGTGGGGCAGCCGCGAGGTGGACGAGGAGGTGCCGGTGGACGAGGAGGAGTTGGAGAAGGAGGAGGACAAGGACGACAAGGACAAGGACGACACGGAGACGGACGAAGGTGCGTCACGTCACGTGCAGCACCGCTGCTCATGACTAACCGCAGAGCGTTCCTTTCGTGCGGGCGATTGCTGTGGAGGAATATTATTGTGAGGATTCTCGGAGTTGGAGAGAGATCTCTGTGTGGTGTGGTGTGGATGGGCGACTGGCAGCTGGTTCTGGAGCTCATCGTGTCTCACTGGATCTTCTATTGCTGTTTGCCTGTGTTTTGCGGCGTTTGGTGTGGTTTGGGGTTGGGTGCATGGCCTGTGGCGTTGGTGTGTGCGTGGCGGGTGTTGGGTTGAGCAGAGGAGGACAAGGACAGCGAGGACGAGTCGGAGGACGAGGAGAAGGAGGAGGAAGAGGAGAAGAGTACGTCTTGTCCCTCTTACCCAAATTATCTCACTCTCATCTTTTGCCACCCTGCGCCTAGTTCAAAAAAAAATCTCTTTCAAAGTCGCTCCTCCCGTCCTCCCTTTCAAGTCCCTCCTCTCGTCCCCACTATTCGAGTAGCTCCTTCCATCCTCCCCCTTTCAAAGTCGCTCCTTTTGCCCCCTATCATAAAGTCGCTCCTCTCTCCCTCTTGTGCGTGGCGGTATGGCGGTGGTGGCCTGGCAGAGCCGAAGACGCGAGTGGAGAAGCGCACCAAGTGGGAGTGGGAGCTGCTGAACAGCGTCAAGGCCATCTGGCTGCGCAGCCCCAAGGACGTCACCGACGACGAGTACCGCGAGTTCTACAAGTCCCTCGCCAAGGTAGGCTCCACTGTCCCCCTGCCCCCTGCCCCCAGCCCCTTGCCTCCTGCTTCCTACCCCCGTTTCCTCCCCCCCCCTGCCCCCTGCTTCCTCCTCCCTGCCCCATTCCTCCTTCCCCTGCCCTCTGCCCCTTGCGTGCTGCACTCGCGCGCGCCGTGCTGTGTACGCGGCCCTTCACCCCGCCCCTCATCCCCTGCTCCCTCGCGCTTCCCAACCGTTCCGCCTCCGCGCCCCGCCCTCCCCCGTCCCCCTCCCTCGCGCGCGCGCAGGACTAACCGCTCTCATGGAAGCACTTGGGTGCTCTCTTTGGAGTTGAAGGCTGTGCTCTTCATCCTCCCCCAACCCCTCCCGGGCAACCCCCGCCTTTCTCCCCCATCTCCCGCGCCCACAGGACTACAGCACGGACAAGCCGCTCTCATGGGCGCACTTCTCAGCGGAGGGCGATGTGGAGTTCAAGGCGGTGCTGTTCATCCCGCCAAACTCCCCCCCCCCCCACTTCCTTCCCCCTCGCCCACAGGATTACAGCACGGACAAGCCGCTATCCTGGGCGCACTTCTCCGCAGAGGGCGATGTTGAGTTCAAGGCGGTGCTGTTCATCCCCCCGCGCGCCTCATACGACATGTACGACAACTACTATGCCAACAAGGCGGCGCTGAAGCTGTACGTGCGGCGCGTGTTCATCAGCGAGGAGTTTGAGGAGCTGCTGCCCAAGTACCTCAACTTCCTCAAGGGCCTCGTCGACTCGGACTCGCTGCCGCTGAACGTGTCTCGCGAGATGCTGCAGGCGCACAGCAGCCTCAAGACGATTCGCAAGAAGCTCGTGCGCAAGGCGCTTGATATGATCCGACGGCTGGCGGAGGACGAGGAGGAGGCCAAGGCTAAGGCCAAGGAGGAGCGCGAGAAGGAGGGCATTGCCGAGGATGGTCAGTACCCGCCCCATCCCACTTGCCGTTCATCCCGCCCCCTCGTGTGCCGTGCATCTCGCCCCCTCGTGTGCCGTGCATCTCGCCCCCTCATGTGCCGTGCATCTCGCCCCCTCGTGTGCCGTGCATCTCGCCCCCTCGTGTGCCGTGCATCTCGCCCCCTCGTGTGCCGTGCATCTCGCCCCCTCGTGTGCCGTGCATCTCCTCGTGTGCCGTGCATCTCGCCCCCTCGTGTGCCGTGCATCTCGCCCCCTCGTGTGCCGTGCATCTCGCCCCCTCGTGTGCCGTGCATCTCGCCCCCTCGTGTGCCGTATGAACGTGGCACCCGTTGTCACCAATCCACCACCCGCTGTCACCAGCCTACACGCTCACTAGTTCTCCTACCTATTTATCCCGTGCCTGCCTCCCATTTCCCGCTCACAACCCCCCGAAACCCCGTTCCCCTGCTACACCTGCCCGCTCCCATCCCTCCAGACAAGGAGCGAGTGCCATCAGACGCGGAAACGCAGTACGAGGACTTCTGGCGCGAGTTCGGGCGAGCCATGAAGCTGGGCGTGATCGAGGACTCGTCCAACCGCATGCGCCTCGCCAAGCTGCTGCGTTTCAAGAGGTGTGGCGCCCTATCAGTTGGATGGTGGGGGTATGAGTGCAGGGCTCAGTAGGGGTGGGTTCAGGTGGTGGAAAGTGGATCAAATATGCGAAGCACGAGCCTTTCTCCCCGCATCTCCACGTCCCACCTACCACACCACCTCAAAGTCTTACCATCCTCCCCACTGTCCCTACCTCTCCTCCCTCCACCCACCAGCTCGAACGACCCGGAGAAGCTGACGAGTCTGGAGCAGTATGTCTCGCGCATGAAGCCGGGCCAGAAGGCCATCTACTACGTCACGGGGCCCAGCCGCGAGCAGCTGGAGCGGTCGCCCTTCATCGAGAAGCTGCGCAAGAAGGGCTTCGAGGTGCTCTACCTCACCGAGCCCGTGGACGAGTACCTCATGCAGAACCTCACTGACTTTGACGATAAGAAGTTCCAGAATGCGTCCAAGGAGGATCTGAAGCTCGGTGGGAAGAAGAGCAAGGAGAAGGAGAAGGCGATGAAGGAGGGCTTTAAGGACCTGCTGGCGTGGTGGAAGGGGCAGCTGGGCAGCAAGGAGGTGGAGGCGGTGAAGCTGAGCGAGCGCCTGGCGTCGTCCCCGTGCGTGGTGGTGACGAGCAAGTACGGGTGGAGCGCCAACATGGAGCGCATCATGACGTCGCAGGCGCTGGGTGACCCGTCACGGCAGTCGTACCTCAAGGGGAGGAAGATTCTGGAGGTCAACCCGCGCCACCCCATCGTGCAGCAGCTCAAGGAGCTCGTTGCTGCTGACCCCAAGGTGCGTAGGGAGAGGGGGTTGCTACTAACCGGTTTGTATGGCTCTCCATGACCTGAAGGATTCTATTTCAGGGTTTTTTTTTCCTTACAAGACGGCTCTCTGGTGCCTGAATCAGCTGCAAGTTGACGGTGCAATAGGGCCTGGCATTGGGTGTTTTTGTGTGTCTGAAATTCCTGTTTCGTGTTTCTCCCACGCCCTCGTATCTTGGCGTTCTGAATGCTGTGTCCCTGAATCTGTGCTTGCGTGCGTGTGCGTGTGCATTTGTGTTGGTGCATGCGTGTGTGTCTCTCTGTCTGTGCATGCAGGATGAGACGGCAGTGAGTGTGGCGTCAACGCTGTACGAGACAGCACTGATCGAGTCGGGCTTCTCTCTGGAGGACCCCACCAAGTTTGCAGCGCGCATCTTCTCGGCTCTCAAGACCAACCTCAAGATTGATCCCGACGCCGGCGTGGAGGAGGAAGAGGAGGATGAGGAGGGGACTGAGGAGGGCAGCTCAGAGAGCAAGGTATGAGAGCAGTGGTGGTGACCTGTAGGGCGTGTGGGCATGCTGGGCTGGGTAGGGCTGGGGATGGCTGGGAGGGGTCATATCATGGGTGTCCTCTCTTTCTGAGTCTGGTGCACTTCTCCTCCTCTTCTCTCCCTCCACTCATCTGTCCCCCTTCTTCCTATGCTCAATCGCCGTGTGCGTGCAGGGTGAGGATGGGATTGAGACTATCAGTCTGGGCGGCGACGACGAGTCAGCAGAAGATGATGCTGACGTGGACAACGAGGCAGCTGGGCTGGAGGATGCTGATGACAAGCACGATGAGCTCTAGTTGACATGGGCATGAGTTTTGTAGGGGATAATTAGTTGTGCTTCCATTGATTGAAACTTAATGACATAGCACTTCTTGACCCACCCCCCTACACGAATCCTGGTCCACAAATACATGTCATATCTGGCTGCAGTTTCACACGATTGTTGCACACAGCTGCACGACTCACCATCCGTCCCAGCGTCCAGTTTTCCTAAGTGTTGACGCTACATGCATAAATCATGTGAACATCCCTATGTCATTATGCATGCGCCCCCCCCCCCCCCTCCCCCCCCCCCCACCCCCCAACTCACCCCCCCTCTAAAGATTTGTTTCGGCAATCACAAGCTCCCGGCCTCGAGAGTTCTGTATATGTATATCAATTGTTATGGGTGTGTGTTATGGGTGCAATGAATCGAGGTAGCGAGGATTGCACTAGAATGTCAAACGACTGCGAAGTATGAGCGAAGGCATGAGCGAATACTTATACGCGAGACATGCACATGGTAACGCGGTGCGTACGAGCTAGCTAGTGCTATGCTGGCGCGAGGTTCGGGCTAGTCCTGAAGCGTAGGCCAACTCGGCTGTTCCAGAAGTGCGAGGTTTGGCGAAATAGTGCGCGCGAAGTTGGCGAAGCCCCGTTAGCGGTAGCGGGCGAAAACGGCTGTTGCTGTACGCGATGTTGCAGGTCTCGGTAAGGAATGTCGACAAATTTCCTTACAGTGCAGAATTCACATGCTAAAGAAACTGAGCCCAATGAGAAAATAACCAATTGTACTATTGAACTCAAAAGACTGAGACTTAAACTAGCAAGAAGAGGACTCTCTGCCGAATCTGGTTAGGAGGGGTGACGAAAGGTTTGGGGCGGAAGTGCACGCCCAACATTTGCATTGTCCCCTCTAAAGTGCTATAGGGTGCGTAGTAGTGTGTATCCTGCCATTTCTGTTCCTGTGTAACTGTAAAATGAAAGTGTTTCAGTCAAAAAGGGACGCCCTGTCAGCATCGTGTAAGTTTCCTACGTAATTTCTTATTCTGCACAAACGCGTCAAAACGGATTCAGAAGATCGAGATATGCTGACGTGGTCACTATTCAGCTGAGGTGTCGTCACCGCAATTTTCGTGACCTGCTGTATTGCGCGTGCTGTCGCGTGGACGTGGTATGCGTTGTCATCAATTTGCTGCTTTGATTCTGATATTGTCCATCGGCCAGTGCAGATCGAACAGCTCACACAAGTAGCATAAACACCTAAAGAAAACGTAAAATTAGGAAATTATGAGCATACACGTATATTCAGGGTTTCGGGTTTAAAGTTAGCAATATCAATTTCACACGCATATTTTGCTGTCACCTGTCAGCCTGTTGTGGATAGGCTGCCCTTGCTCCACAGTTATGGCTAATGAATGATTTCCTTGCCGCGCGTATCTGAACGACAGTTACACCTACCCAAATTCTGCCGACTTTCAATAGAAGAGGTCGGCTTGAGTCGAGACGACACATCCCCGCACACACACACGCTCATCAGCTCGCAAGTTGGGCGGCCAGTTGCAGCCGTCAGGTCAGCCGACCGACTGTGTTGGAAACTGGTGGGCAATTGCGGTGGTTGGCGCTGCTTGGAGCCCCAAAACTGGGAGCAGGCAAGCTGACGCACATCTAGCTGCAGCCTGCGGTTCGACTGCGACCATTACAGCGTGGCGTGCAGTGCAGCACATCGATGTCTGTTGGCCGAACGTCCTTTCTGGCGCTAAAACTGCTGTCTCTCCGAGCCTGCTAGTGGACCAAAACCGTGCCGAAGCCGTCCCATGTGTTCGTGGCTCACACCGAGCCTTTTCACATACGAGCAGGCTGGATGCATGGCTTTGTAACCGCCGAAGCTGTGGCTGGTGTGGCGAATCAGAGGCGTGGACCGATCCGGAATTTTGCGAACGTGAACCTTCCTTACCATAACAGAACTTTCATTCTTGCCGAACCAGCTATGGTTTGTAACAGACCAGGCAAGACCGGAGGAGGCAACTTCACCCGTCCGATGGTGACAGGTGTGCATGTCGATTTTGCGAATCGACGACATTCGGTCCCTCGATTGCCGTCGACCTTTGCCAGCTTGATCTTGCCCTCCATGCCTGGCCACATGATTGGCGCTGAACTCAAGCAGCACACGGACCCTTCCGCCGTCCCGCTTCCACCGTCCCCCTTCCGCCGTACCTCTTCCGCCGTCCCCCAGCCCTGCACCGGCTGCCGTCGACCATTGTTGTGACATTGTCCTCCTCACTTGCCCGCGACCAAGCTGCATCCTCCTGTTGTGGCTTCGGCGCGTGTTTCTCCTGGGCAACTTGCCGAACCACATCCGTCGGCACAATGAGCCTGCGCGCTCCCCCAGTAATTGTCCGCTCCGCTCTCTCTTGGTCCTTCGCCATCGCACCTTCAAACCAGCCCACAAGACACACGTGAGTTTCCCCCCACCTCTCCCGCACCGTACCCCCACCTATCCGGTCCCGCACCGTACCCCCATCTCTCTCCCAGTCTTCCCCCATCCCACCCACCCCCTTTCCCGCATCTGGTTCCTGCTCTTTCTCCGCCCACGAAGTCTCGCCTCTCTTCGCCGCATCTCCACTTCTCCCGTACGCCGACCCCAACTAAACCAGTCTGGCCTGCTGTTCCCTCAATCCCAATCCCAACTGCCGATCACATTGCTCCTCGCCCGTTCCTGGGTCTTCTGTCCACACATTCTCTTGGGTTCATTGCCTTCGGTGCCCCCTAAGGTCCTCATTTCTGCGACGTAGAGTTTTCCACCATAACTGCTGCCTCCTCTCTTTCATCAGATCGTCATATTGGAATTATGCTCGCCGCCTCGCCTCCGTTCGCGCACCACATGCTTCAGGATCGCTGGCAGCAGCAGCAGCATCAGCAGCATCAACAGGCTATCTTTTTGAGCCCTCAACCCCTGTTCGAAGCACACCACCACTCCGCCAGCCCCGCGCCTGGCGTCCCCGACAACAAGCTGCGCGAGCTCGCGTCCATGGCGTCCCTCGCGAACCACCCCGCGGCGCCGTCGCCGCCGCCGCCTGCGTCGCACGCTCAGTCACCGCCCGCCGCTTTCCCCAACCCGTGGGGCGCGGGCTCCGACTCCCCGTGCGCGCAATTCGCCGCTCAGAGCCCCCCCGACGGGCCGCCTCCGCGCCTATCATCCGCCGGTTGCAACGAGGCTCTCCCGTCGCCGATCCCCACGCCCCCGTGCACGTGCTACTCGCGGCTGCCGGCCGGATGCGCGACGGATCCGCACGCGCCGACCGTTAAGTACATCGGCGTGCGCCTGCGCGGGCGCAACCGGTGGGTGGCGGAGATTAAGGACAACAACCACGGCGTGCGCAAGTGGCTCGGCACCTTCGCGTGCCCCGTGCAGGCCGCGCAGGCCTTCGACGCGGCGGCGCGCGCGATTCGCGGCCCGAAGACGAAGGCGAACTTTAAGCGCGGCGACGCGGAATTCGTGGAGGACGTGCCCGAGGTGCTCTCCGTGCTCGCGTACTGCGCCTCGGGCAAGCCGCCGCAAAGCAGCGCGGCAAACCTGGCGGGGTCGGCGGACGGGTTCGCGCGGAGAACGTCTCCCAAGCAGTCGTCTCCCGCTGGTCCGCCGGGCAGAAGGCCCGGCAGGGGCAAGCCACCCTCCCCCTCCGCCGGCCCCTTGCCGCTCGCGATCGGCCCGCCGTCCATCGCCGCGCCGTCCTACGCGGCCGCGCCGTACGCAGTGGACGCGACCCAAGCCGGCGCCACGCTGCATCATGCCGCCCCGCGCCTGTCCATGCCGTCCCCGTCGTCATCGCTGGTCGCACCAAGCCCCCTGCAGCTCACCGGCAGTTTTAACGCCGAAGCGTCGCCGCTAACGCCCTTCCCGCCTGCGCGCGGGTCGCATGAGATCGTTGTGAAGCGCGAAGTCCTGGCGCCGTCCTCCCTGCTGCCCGTCGCGGCGTTCGCCGAGGCGCGCGCGGCGAGCGAGCACGCGGTGATTGTGCAGCCGGCGCACGCAGGCGGGCGCGCGGCGGCGGGCTGCGCGCCGCCAGCCGTAGTCGACGGCGTGACGTGGGTGGTGGCGGAGCCGGAGCAGGCGACGCCTTGGGGCGCGCGGACGGCGGAAGCCGGCAGGTTCCCGCAGCTAGTGGCGCCCGCGCCCCACGCACCCCACACGCCCCACGCGCCGTATCACCCACCTGCCCCGCAGTGGCGCGACTCGCAGGGGGAGCAGCGCGAGGTGCGGTGCAGGAGGGAGGAGGCACAGGCGGGTGTGGGAGGGGAGGGCGGCGCTCCAGCCATCGAATGCGCCTCGCTGTGGTCGCCTTGTCGACCCGCTGATGCCAACAGGGACGAGGACGCATTCGCACACACGCCATCTGCGCAGCCAGATGACATGGATGTCCGATCCTCAAGCCACGTCAGGCTCGGCAAGCGCAGGTCGCCCGAGCCTGTGGGAGAGGTTCAGTTAAATCGTTTGGTACGGGACGCGGAGGGTAGCATGCATGGAGGCATTGGAGGGGTGCTCTCTCTGCTGTCTGTTGGAGCCCTCCAGTCGTCCGGCGAGAGGGTCGGCAGCAGGCTCGGTGGTGAGAGTTTGAAAGTGAAGGGGATGAGCCTTTCCTCACTCTTGCCTGTTGCCGAGCCTGCGCTGACTCCCGAGGAGTTTGGTGAGCTTCGGCAGAAGCTTGGGTGGAAGGTGGTTCGGATGGAGGACCTGGAGGAAATCCCAAGGGTGGCTCGGGAAGCACTGTTGAGGTTCAGGCAGGACAAGGACTTCACCATGCTGTCACTTTAGTAGACACTGTACGGGTGCATTGGCAGGTAGGTAGGCATGTCACAAAGATTCTAATTACGTGTAACTTGGTAGTTGTAAAGTAGGTCTCAATAATATGAAATTCGAAACCGTCTGCCTGAATGGATGTCATGTTAGGCTGTCTGGTGCACATGTTTATGGGGCAAGCTGAACACCAGGAGGCCATGCATAGAAAGGAACTTATCAATACTGTAGGAAAGGAAGGCTGTAGTCTTGGCATGGGCGCATACTGAAACTCATAAATTAGCTGGTGGGTGTGACACTGTAGGTGTATGTGAGTGGTGGCCCATCATGCAGGCAAGTGATTATGCATCAAGTAGACAAGTAGACTGGATCTGCAATCTAAGGTAGGTTATGGCTCGGAAGGCAGCTTCTTGTGCAGCCAGAGGTTAAGCCCGCCATCCAGATGGAGAATGCTGCTGAACCCCGCCACGTGCAGCTCGTAGCACGCCTTGAGCGACCTGCCACACAGTGCAGGCCATTGAGTTCAACACTGCCTCGTCAGCCCTGAAACGGCAGGTGTGCAACAACACAACAAGGTATCATAACAAGGCGAAGAACAGTGCAGCCATAAATGCTTCTCAGTATCTCTCTCCGCCCCTCCCCCAACCTCCCAATCCCCAATGTTGTCTGTGTCTCTGTATTCCATCCATGCCTGACGTTCTCTCCATGCCTCAACAACACCCGCCCCACCCCTCCTCCCCCTTCCATACCTGGACTGGATGCCGAATCGCTTGTCCAGATCCCTGAACTCCATGCCTTTGCGCATCGACACGTTCTGCAGCGTGCCACCTCGCCCGCACATCACAATCACAGTGCGGCTCTTATCCCCCCCGACCGCCGCCTCCGCCTGCTTGAGCAGGTCCGGGTTCCGCTCCGTGCCCTTGAAGTCGCCCATCGCGGCGTATCCCACGCGGCGGGCCCACGCTGTGAGGTCGCTGCCTTGGATGAGGCGGAAGAGCGGCGCGCTCGCTGCCCCGCGTGCATGCACCTCCTCGTAGTCCCCCGCTTCCCGCACGTCCAGCAGCACTGCCCGCCCGCTCCCACTCCCCTCACTGCCTTGGCTGCCATCGCTGGTGTCTGCGCCGTCAGTGGTGCCGTAGGCCATGGCTGCTGCCTCATCTGGTGTCACACTCTTGAGCCCGAGCGCTGTGAGCTCATTGAATACCACTGGGGAGGGGAGATGGACGACGGGGGAGGGGTGGTGGAGGGGTGGGAGAGGAAAGGCGTTGATGTGGAATAGAAGGGGGCATGTGGGTGTGGCAGGTGTTGGCCGAGGAGGTGCGTTAAATGTGGCACGGTGATTGTGGGGGCGAGGAAACGCAGTGATTGCCTAAGGACTATTTCTCACAAGCCTCAGAAATAGCTGCACGCGGAGCTTGTAGCGTTGGCTTGCATGCAGAACGATGCTTACGGCATTATCAGTCAACATACATGCCGCATTATCAAGCCAAATGTTTACCCTATCAGCAGCAGGCCACATACATACCGTACCAGGAGGTGTATTCGAAGGAGCCATCGAAGAGAGTGTCTACTCGGCCCTTCTTCGGCGCGCTCTCCTGGAAATGACACGACATTTACCGCATGGCACGTAATTCGTCGCATGAAACGAGATTCGTCGCATGAAGCGAGATTCATCGCAGGGCACGGAATTGTGCGCGGCACAGAATTCATCGCATGGAACAGCGAATTTTGCATGTCCCCCCAATCATCGCATGCAACGGCGGTTTTTGCATGGTAAGGAAAGTATTGCATCCGGCAACTGGAACGCAGTTACACCTACCTTATCCGAAGCCTGTGCCCGCGGCTGGACTGCGAGAGCGCGTCCTCTACCATAAGAGGCACCAGCTAGTGCCACGTGGCTGCGCACACTCTTTCGAGTGACGAACGCAGACGACGACAGAGGACACGTGTTAACGCGAAGAGTGCACGCCATGGCGTCGCACCGTCGTCTGTGGCGCCCACTACTACGCGGAACTTCTCGTATTTTTTTACATACAGGTAGGAATGCCAGGAAGGTGGGGCTATGGGCGCAGACGCAGAGCACCGCGGGACACTAGGGAGTGTGGAAGAAGTATCGCCCATGAGTTCGCAATGTAGGTGTTTCCGCTCGCAATATATTTTCGCGTGGCTTCGTATGCCTATCAGAGAACGCCAAATCGGTGTTTGGGAAATGATGCTATGTAGGCCCCCCTAATGTCACTTTCTGGAAACTCTGCATTTCATTTATGAATGCTTTTGGAGTGTAGAGTTTCTGTGGAACTCGAAAAACCCAAGATGCCATTTGCAAGCCTGACATTTCAGGCCGACGTGGCGGAGCATGGGATTGTGGTATCTAAACAGCGAATGGGTTGGGCGCAATAAGCCAGCACAGCAGCGCCTTAGAAACGACCAGACTGGCGGAGCAAATGCCACGCGTCCTTCAATCCGCTCGGCGCAATCGAGACTGTCGAACACGGCTAAGGGAGTGAGATGTGACCCACTTCATCGTATCCCACCGTATTCGAAATTGATCAGATCCGTTCTCACCCCATTCGGAGCTTCAATGGATGACTACCAGTCATCACACTCCTTGCTCTTGTCGTAGGCTCACAGACGGATAGCGTTTGTGACATTCTGTTCTGCGATAGCATTCGAGGCTGGGAGAGCAGGTTGACAATTGGAAGGAATCGATAGCTTTCTGCCTTCCATCGATAGCTTTCTGCCTTCCGCAGCCTCGATCATCCTACTGCTTGAGAACCGACTGCAATGGCTGCCGTAACGTCGCTCGTCATTGAAATCGGTTCCTGTAGCATCACGGCAGAGAGGCTTGTTTCGCAAGCCCACGCCCCAAAGCTGCTGCAGCGTCCACGATCAGCGTTCTTCGCGCAATGCCCGCCGAAAGCACTCGTTTCTTGCAAGTCTCAAGCCACGAGACGCGTGCTCCCAGCCATAGCAGCATCCGACAGCAGCACCGAGACGTCGGCGGCTGCGAGCGGCGGAGCAGCGGAGTATCTCGAGGTGTTGATAGAGTCGGACGCGGGTGTGAGCTATGATCACCTTCAGGACAAGCTCGCCGCGGGGCAATGGGAGGAGGCAGATAACGAGACTCGGCGGCTGCTGTGCGTGCTAGCTGGGGAGGCCGCTGCGAAGCGCAAGTGGGTGTACTTCACGGAGGTACAGAACATTCCCGACAAAGACCTCCTGACAATTGACCGGCTTTGGCGGGCGTACAGCAAGGACCGGTTCGGGTTCAGTGTGCAACGGAAAATGTGGCGCGCGATGAGCCGACAGTGGAAGCCGCTGTTCCTGCAGATCGGGTGGACGTACGGCCCCAACAGCACGTACAAGAAGTTCCCCATGGAATTCTCGTGGGAACTGGACGCGCCCGTGGGTCACCTGCCGCTGACGAACGCCCTGCGAGGCACGCAGCTGATTGAGAAGCTGTTCACGCATCCCGCGATGGCCGTGTTCGACGCCGACGAGACGATGCCGGACCTCGACACCGTGCCCAGTTTCGCCGCCGCGGAGCCGGAGAAGGGCGCCGCCAGTCCCACCAGCAGTGGAGCCGTGGGAGGTACGATGTTTGACGAAGGCTTCAACAGCGCCGACTACGGGTTTTAAAGCTTTGCGAGTGGTGAAAAGGTATAGTTTGTACGTTTGGCTTTCTGGCCTCTGCAAATTTCAATACGCCTTCTCGCCCGAATCTGTTTCGGTTACGAATTTCACTTGTGGGTTTGTTCAAACAAGCAGTCTTATGTCAAAGAGAAACGCAATTTCTATAGATCCTTTCCACCTTGCCGCCCTTAATTCCTACGCACAAGCCTCACAAACACCATCTCTCTTCTCACCCCGAACAATCCCAAAACCACGCAACCTCTTCCCTCCCCTCCACAACTCCCCCCCCTCCAACTCCCCCCCCTCCCCTCCCCTCCCCGTCACCCTCTCGCCACACCATTTATCTGGTACTGCCATCCTAGTTCGGCACAACCTGCGTCCTCTGTCACCTTTGCCCCCATACCTCTGGTTCCTCACCTTCTAGTTTTCCCTCCAGCTGATTGCTTTCTATCTAGCCCCATTTTCTTTCCGGTCACTCTCATCAATCCTCTTTCCGCTGTAGTCGACCTCCCACACCACAACCCTCTCGTCTACGCCCTCCTCAACCAATAGTCACCACACGTTTTGTGCAGTCACCATTAGACACGAGAATTGCTTCAGGGGAGTGTTACACTTGTTAGTGTTGTGCTGACAATTTCCAAGACCTGGTTCCAAGAATTCTAGATTGTTCGGTTTTTGAGGTTGAATTATAATCTCTGGTATCTACCGGATTCCGCAAGCATTTCTTTCCAGTGGCCTCCACTGAGTTCTACCTACAACCTAGAGCAAAAAGGCTGCATTTCTGGATGCCAGTACTAGGCATAACATTGAAATATGAGACAAATGAAAACACATGCCACTGTACGGTACCAGCCATTATTGATTGGAACATCTTTAGCTGGATAACAGAAACAATGTCCTGCACTATTCTAGTATCCTGCAGTCACCCCTCCGTCCACCACTAGAGTCTGCCCCGTGACATAACTCCCAGCCTCTGAAGCCAGGAACAGGACCGCATTCGCCATTTTCTCTGGCCGGCCCAGCCTTCCCATGGGAATTTGCTGCTCCATGCGCTTCCTAGCCTCTTCCACCGTCACACCCCACGCCTCTGCCCGTTTGGTGGCAAGATTGGCGATCCGTGCTGTGTCAAAGCTGCCTGGTGCCACATTGTTGACTGTGATGCCGTGGCAGGCTAGGTCCTGCAGTTGAGGAAGTGGGAGGAACAGGGCGGGAGAGTGGGGCAGGGGGTGATGTGAAAGGCTGGTGCAGGTGAAGGGGCGAGGGAGAACGAGAGGAGCAAATGGAAGGTAGAGAGAAAGATTCTTACAAGAGAGAGGGTCTTGAGCATGCCAACGACAGCAGGGCGCATGGCATTGGAGAGAAGCAGCCCAGGGATGGGCTGCTTGACCGATGTGGATGTGATCACCACAATGCGACCCCATGAGGCTGTCTGCACAACGAATGCATGACATTGTTGGCATGGAATGAGATGAACTGGCTGATTACCAGCAGATGATCTAGATCAAACTTTACAGGGCTAAGGATTCCAGAGGATGTCACCTTCGCGCTGCTCTGCTCACTGTGTACCTTCATGTGAGGCACTGCATGTTGAACGAGCCGCGTGGTGGACATGAGCGTTCCCTGAAACGCCTCCTGCCATTGTGCCTCTGTGACACTATCGAATGTGCCAGGAGGGGGCCCTCCACTGTTCGCCACAAGCACTTGCAGCCCACCATAAGTCTGCAGATGAACAATGTCGGAGGAAGGGGAGGAGTGAGAAGAAAGAGGAATGGGAGCGTGAATGAGAAGAAAATGCAAGCAGCCCACCATAGGCCGCTACAAAATCCGTGACATTTGTACTTCTGCAGAGCAGCGGAGTGAGATGTGCCATATGCAAAAACTTTTCGTTGAGTCAAATACATCTGAATATTATAAATGTGTACCTTCACTGTAGCATCCACAACGGCTTGAAGCTCGTCCGCCTTGAGAACGTCCGCCACGAGCGGCAGCACCTGCGCGCCCCCCACCTCTCCGCGGATCTTCTCCGCGGCCGCCTCAATGCGCTCGGCGGAGCGCGAAAATATCGCTACTCGCGCTCCCGCCCTGACTGGGAGAGAGAGAAATAAAAGGGTCTTGGTGACGCAGGTACACAAAGTCGTCGTGGAAAAGCAGACGTCGGTGGGATGAAAAAGGGAAGTGTAGGCGAATGGAGGTAGACGGATAAAAGTCGGGAAGAGGAAGAGCAGGCGCGATGGGGAAGATGTAGGAAGGTGGAAGGAGGACCGGCGAATGACGCGAACCTGGCGAACGCGAGAGCGCAGTAGTAACCGAGTCCCGCACTCGCTGCTGCGACCAGTGCTACCCGACCCTGGAGTCCTAGCGTAAGCGCCTCCATATGGGATGAATGCCAGAAATCTGTCTACGAAGCACTGGCGACTACGCAAAACGTATTTTTGCTTCTCCAAGGCCCAAGAAGAGAAATACAATGTTGGTGCACGAAGGATGAGAGAGAGGAGGCGAAATGGTTTCAGAATGCTTCGAAATACAAGTGCAGGACGGAAATCCGCCTTTTCCCAGGCAGTGTGGACAAACATGTGGAGGAACTCACAGAACATGTTTCGATTAGGGAAAAGATCATATTGGGGCCGAACAGTGCCAGAGAGGTGATCAAAGTAGGTTCGGTAAATCTCGACCGTAGGATTTCAACCCGGAGCTGACTAAACGACTCGGCAAACAAGCCGAACCATAAGTAAAAGACAATTGCTAAAACAGCCCGAGTTTCGTGTTCATTTCATTATTGAGGGTTTTGACCACCTTCTACGACAACGCGCGAGTCGCCTTCTTCTGGAATTATTTTCGGCGTGTCAAATCGTGAGTACGTAACATAATAATATATTCTGAGTGATACATATCACCTACCCGATCGGAAACGCACAGGTAAAAAATATTACCCATTCGGAAAAGGATGCAACTCGGGAGGCATCAACCCTAAATACCAGGAAGGTCCCCTTGTTTACGGCGTGTTGCAATTTGCAGTGCATCTAAAATTGCAACACGCCGTTAGGGTTGATCCATCCCGAAATTGCATCCAGGTTTCCTATGAGTTTTAGTTTGTTTTGGCTGCCCAAGAGTTCCCCTAGAGTCAGCTCGCTAAACGTCACGCAAGCGAAAATGCGAGCCGGTACATGCCACTATAACAGAATTACGCGCAAAACACAAAGACCATTATGTTAATCCCTCCTCGCGCAGCGGTTTGGTAAGTTCCAGGCCTCTCGGCCCCTGTTCGATCACCCTTCTGGCACTGTTCGGCCCCTGTATGATCTTCTCCCTTTCGATTACGCCAGAGGGGAGGTTGGATTGGAATTACACGGTTCTGCTATTCATCAGGCCTTGTAACGCGTATGATTTCGAGATTTTGGCCAAAACCGAAACTCTTTCTGCATGCCCACTGCTCTGTTAGGGAGGGAAAACGCTCTGGCTGTGACAACCCTGGGAGTCCTAATTTCGGCTCATAACTTGCCTCAGTAGTTTAGTGTGCTTGAGTCGCTGTTGGTCTTCTGTTGCACAAATCTCTGGCCGACACGTCATGACTTCTTGCGTTCTCTGTTGCAGATTTCCTGCACTTAATAATATCAGTTTCACGCCAACTCAAAGTAGTAGCCGTGTTTATCGACCATCTTCACACGAGCTGCGTCCTGTAGTTTCCCTTCTGCGACCAGATTCCGGTTACCTTCCGTGCGTCCCAATCTCGTCAGTTCTTTGCTCGGTTTCCCGTTACCATGGCGTCTCACAATCTCACTGACTCATCCGCCATATTGGAAGCTACGACTCCCGCTAAGGTGCACAAGAGCGCCGTTTGCGTGATTCCTCCGCAAGAGACCTGGGGTTCCATCCAAGCTATTCGTATTGTACATGATAAAGTGAGTCGAACTTAGAATATGAATTCTCACGAATCGCATGCACATGTTGTTACCAAGCGTCGCCGTCGTTTCCATTGACCGCTCATGAATCCGTTCCACACGCTTTTCTGGTTTTCTTATCTCGGCCAGCGTAGCACTACAAGCGCTGGATGCCTCACATGAACCTGCTGTACCCTTTCTGGGAAGACAATGCGGACAACTTCCACAGAGCCGCGGAGATTATGGTATTTCAAAAAGCTTTTATTGTTTCGCTACGCCAACTACTGTTTTGGAAGTCACTGTGCGTTGTTGACTAATCCATGCTCGATCTTTCATTTTCTGAACCACGCCTGTCACATCTCCGCCGTGCAGCGAACAGCGCTGGCAGGTACAGAGCCATTCGAGGTCCATCTCGCCTCATTCAACGTCTTCCACCACGGCAAGAGCTGCACTGTGTGGCTGCAGCCAACTCCCTCGCCGCCTCTCATCGCCCTTCAGCGCACACTGGAAGCTGCCTTCCCTGAGTGCAACGACCTCAGCCAAATTGTGGCTGACGGCTTCTGCCCTCACCTCTCCGTTGGCCAGGTGAGGAGATTAGGAAGTGTTACAGGCATCATCAGCTCGCGTCCGACTCGATTTATGATGACGATTATGAAGGTGCTTTTTCTTACTAGAAACCTGAATTACTGGCAGTGGCGCACAAGGAAGGACGCAGAAGCAGCCATCAGTTCATTCCAGGAAAAGTGGACGCCTATCACCTTTCAACTAAATTTTGTCTCGCTTATCAGTAGGCAAGGTATGCCTTTTCTCATATTTGGGTTACTGCTTCAAAGTTAATACAACCATGGTTTGCCGCATCTTTTTCAAACCAAAACGACTTGTTTGTGTTTCAACCTCTGCCGTTCTTCTCATCCAGGTACTCTATATTAGACGTTTCACGTTTTTCTCCTGCCAATGTCACTCTGTGGTGCTGCAGGTTACCATGATCCTTTCCTTGTGCAGGTGCAAGTGCCGCTAGGTGCTGCGCAGAAGGTTTCTGAAGTACATGCTAGCTAAATCAGGATCGACCATACCACCAGTTTATCAATGCAGTGCAATAACACAAATCTCAGACAGGTCCTGGAACCTTCAGACTTTGACAATTATAAAACTATACCTCCAGATCACTCGGGCGGAGGGGTGTTGGTGGGCAAGGTGGACGCGCTGCAGCACGCGGGGGTGCTGCAGAGGGCGGTCGCGGAGGGCGCTGGGGACGACGGTGAGCCGCCGCTGTTCGTGTGGGCGGAGAAGGGACGCCTGCAGCCGTGCGACGAGTTCCACAGGTGAGCGGGATGACAATCGAATCGTCTGAGATGCCATACGAGTGTGTTCCACGATGGCACTGCTCCCGCTCTTCGTCCTTGTGGTGAGGAAAGTCGCACGCGTTGCACTGCTCACTCTCCTCTCGCGTCCTCTCCACGCGCCACCCATCCCCTCTGCAGCGAGGACGTGGTGGCGTGGGTGACGCGGAAGAGCGGGCGCAGTGTGGCCGCGCTGGACCCCGCCTCGCCCTCCGACCTGCCCTCTCTCGACTCGCTGCTCGACGACTCCGTCACTGCGCTCGCCCTCGCTCTCGTGCATGACACTCAGGTGGGCACAGCATGCAAGTGCGCACAGCATGCAAGTGCGCACATGAGCATGACATGCAAGTGCGCACATGAGCATGACATGCAGCGTGGCCGTGCTGGACCCTCCCTCGCTCTCCGACCTGCCCTCTCTGGACTCGCTGCTCGACGACTCCGTCACTGCGCTCGCCCTCGCCCTCGTGCATGACACTCAGGTGAGCATGAGATGCAGGTGAGCATGAGATGCAGGTGAGCATGAGATGCAGGTGAGCATGAGATGCAGGTGAGCATGAGATGCAGGTGAGCATGAGATGCAGGTGAGCATGAGATGCAGGTGAGCATGAGATGCAGGTGAGCATGAGATGCAGGTGAGCATGAGATGCAGGTGAGCATGAGATGCAGGTGAGCATGAGATGCAGGTGAGCATGAGATGCAGGTGAGCATGAGATGCAGGTGAGCATGAGATGCAGGTGAGCATGAGATGCAGGTGAGCATGAGATGCAGGTGAGCATGAGATGCAGGTGAGCATGAGATACAGGTGAAACCAAGGCAACCCAAGTCGCCCATTAAATTCACCGTCTTCCCTCCCTTCCCGTCCTCCCCTCTCTCCCCTCTCCCCCACTACCAGGGCACAGCAGCAGCGGAGTTCAGAGGCGCATCTAAGGACGTGGAGGGGGTGCGGTTTGCGCTCACCACGCACGCTGCAGTGGCCACCGCGCTGGGCTGGCAAGGGGACGCTGCTGCTGCCCTGGCGCGTGCAGGCGCGGAGGGGGGCGTGGTGGCCGTGCTCAAGAGCAGAAACGACACCTTTTCGCAGTTCAGTGAGTATCTCACCCCCCATTCTCACTCCGCTGGGCTGGCAGGGCGACGCTGCTGCTGCTCTGGCACGTGTAGGCGCGGAAGGGGGGGGGTGTGGCCGGGGCTCAAGAGCAGAAACGACTCCTTCCTGCAGTTTAGTGCGTCGCTCGCCCCCCATCCCCACGCGTCCCTGCTTCCCAGGGCGTGCGATGCAGCGTATGTGCGTGCGGTGCAGCGTATGTGCGTGCGGTGCAGTGTATGTGCGTGCGGTGCAGCGTGTGAGCGTGCGGTGCAGTGTAGAGCGTGTGGTGCAGCGTATGAGCGGGCGGTGCAGCGTATGAGGGGGCGGTGCAGCGTATGAGCGTGTACCTCCCTCAGTTCCTCCCTTAGTTCCTTCCTCCCTCAGTTCCTCCCTCAGTTCCTCCCTCAGTCCCTCCCTCAGTTCCATCCTCCCTCAGTTCCATCCTCCCTCAGTTCCTTCCTCCCTCAGTTCCTCCCTCAGTTCCTCCCTCAGTTCCACCCTCAGTTCCCCCCTCAGTTCCTCCCTCAGTTCCTCCCTCAGTTTCCCCCTCAGTTCCTTCCTCAGTTCCATCCTTCCTCAGTTCCTTCCTCCCTCAGTTCCTCCCTCAGTTCCTCCCTCAGTTCCTCCCTCAGTTCTTCCCTCAGTTCCTCCCTCAGTTCCTCCCTCAGTTCCTCCCTCAGTCCCTCCCTCAGTTCCTCCCTCAGTCCCTCCCTCAGTTCATCCCTCATTTCCTGCCTCAGTTCCTCCCTCAGTTCCTCCCTCAGTTCCTTCCTCCCTCAGTTCCTCCCTCAGTTCCTCACTCAGTCCCTCCCTCAGTTTCTCCCTCAGTTCCTCCCTCAGTTCCTCCCTCAGTTCCTCCCTCAGTTCCTCCCTCTGTTCCTCCCTCAGTTCCTTCCTCCCTCACTTCCTCCCTCAGTTCCTCCCTCAGTTCCTTCCTCCCTCAGTTCCTCCCTCAGTTCCTCCCACAGTTTCTGCCTCAGTTCCTCCCTCAGTTCCTCCCTCAGTTCCTCCCTCAGTTCCTCCCTCAGTTCCTTCCTCCCTCAGTTCCTCCCTCAGTTCCTCACTCAGTTCCTCCCTCAGTTCCTCTCTCAGTTCCTCCCTCAGTTCCTCCCTCAGTTCCTCCCTCAGTTCCTCCCTCAGTTCCTTCCTCCCTCAGTTCCTCCCTCAGTTCCTCACTCCTCAGTTCCTCCCTCAGTTCCTCCCTCAGTTCCTCCCTCCGTTCCTCCCTCAGTTTCTCCCTCAGTTCCTCCCTCAGTTCCTCCCTCAGTTCCTTCCTCCCTCAGTTCCTCCCTCAGTTCCTTCCTCCCTCAGTTCCTTCCTCCCTCAGTTCCTTCCTCCCTCAGTTCCTCCCTCAGTTCCTTCCTCCCTCAGTTCCTCCCACAGTTCCTCCTTCAGTTCCTCCCTCAGTTCCTCCCTCAGTTCCTCCCTCAGTTCCTCCCTCAGCTCCTTCCTCCCTCAGTTCCTCCCTCAGTTCCTCCCTCTGTTTCTCCCTCAGTTCCTCCCTCAGTTCCTCCCTCAGTTCCTTCCTCCCTCAGTTCCTCCCTCAGTTCCTTCCTCCCTCAGTTCCTCCCTCAGTTCCTCCCACAGTTTCTCCCTCAGTTCCTCCCTCAGTTCCTCCCTCAGTTCCTCCCTCAGTTCCTCCCTCAGTCCCTCCCTCAGTTCATCCCTCAGTCCCTCCCTCAGTTCCTCCCTCAGTTCCTTCCTCTCTCAGTTCCTTCCTCCCTCAGGTTCCTCCCTCAGTTCCTCCCTCTGTTTCTCCCTCAGTTCCTCCCTCAGTTCCTCCCTCAGTTCCTTCCTCCCTCAGTTCCTCCCTCAGTTCCTTCCTCCCTCAGTTCCTCCCTCAGTTCCTTCCTCCCTCAGTTCCTCCCACAGTTCCTCCTTCAGTTCCTCCCTCAGTTCCTCCCTCAGTTCCTCCCTCAGTTCCTCCCTCAGCTCCTTCCTCCCTCAGTTCCTCCCTCAGTTCCTCCCTCTGTTTCTCCCTCAGTTCCTCCCTCAGTTCCTCCCTCAGTTCCTTCCTCCCTCAGTTCCTCCCTCAGTTCCTTCCTCCCTCAGTTCCTCCCTCAGTTCCTCCCACAGTTTCTCCCTCAGTTCCTCCCTCAGTTCCTCCCTCAGTTCCTCCCTCAGTTCCTCCCTCAGTTCCTTCCTCCCTCAGTTCCTTCCTCCCTCAGGTTCCTCCCTCAGTTCCTCCCTCAGTTCCTCCTTCAGTTCCTCCCTCAGTTCCTCCCTCAGTTCCTTCCTCCCTCAGTTCCTCCCACAGTTTCTCCCTCAGTTCCTCCCTCAGTTCCTCACTCCTCAGTTCCTCCCTCAGTTTCTCCCTCAGTTCCTCCTCCCTCAGTTCCTCCCTCAGCTCCTTCCTCCCTCAGTTTCTCCCTCAGTGCCTCCCTCAGTTCCTCCCTCAGTTCCTCCCTCAGTTCCTTCCTCCCTCAGTTCCTCCCTCAGTTCCTCCCTCAGTTCCTCCCTCAGTTCTTCCCTCAGTTCCTCCCTCAGTTCCTCCTCAGTTCCTCCCTCAGTTTCTCCCTCAGTTTCTCCCTCAGTTCATCCCTCAGTTTCTCCCTCAGTTCCTCCCTCAGTTCCTCCCTCAGTCCCTCCCTCAGTTCCTCCCTCAGTTCCTCCCTCAGTTTCTCCCTCAGTTCCTCCCTCAGTTCCTCCCTCAGTTCCTCCCTCAGTTCCTCCCTCAGTTTCTCCTTCAGTTCCTCCCTCAGTTTCTCCCTCAGTTCCTCCCTCAGTTCCTCCCTCAGTTCCTCCCTCAGTCCCTCCCTCAGTTCCTCCCTCAGTTCCTCCCTCAGTTCCTCCCTCAGTTCCTCTCTCAGTTCCTCCCTCAGTTCCTTCCTCCCTCAGTTCCTCCCTCAGTTCCTCCCTCAGTTCCTCCCTCAGTTCCTCCCTCAGTTCCTCCCTCAGTTCCTGCCTCAGTTCCTCCCTCAGTTCCTCCCTCAGTTCCTCCCTCTGTTTCTCCCTCAGTTCCTCCCTCAGTTCCTCCCTCAGTTCCTCCCTCAGTTTCTCCCTCAGTTCCTCCCTCAGTTCCTCCCTCAGTTCCTCCCTCATTTCCTCCCTCAGTTCCTTCCTCCCTCAGTTCCTCCCTCAGTTCCTCACTCAGTTCCTCCCTCAGTTCCTCTCTCAGTTCCTCCCTCAGTTCCTCCCTCAGTTCCTCCCTCAGTTCCTCCCTCAGTTCCTTCCTCCCTCAGTTCCTCCCTCAGTTCCTCACTCCTCAGTTCCTCCCTCAGTTCCTCCCTCAGTTCCTCCCTCCGTTCCTCCCTCAGTTTCTCCCTCAGTTCCTCCCTCAGTTCCTCCCTCAGTTCCTTCCTCCCTCAGTTCCTCCCTCAGTTCCTTCCTCCCTCAGTTCCTTCCTCCCTCAGTTCCTTCCTCCCTCAGTTCCTCCCTCAGTTCCTTCCTCCCTCAGTTCCTCCCACAGTTCCTCCTTCAGTTCCTCCCTCAGTTCCTCCCTCAGTTCCTCCCTCAGTTCCTCCCTCAGCTCCTTCCTCCCTCAGTTCCTCCCTCAGTTCCTCCCTCTGTTTCTCCCTCAGTTCCTCCCTCAGTTCCTCCCTCAGTTCCTTCCTCCCTCAGTTCCTCCCTCAGTTCCTTCCTCCCTCAGTTCCTCCCTCAGTTCCTCCCACAGTTTCTCCCTCAGTTCCTCCCTCAGTTCCTCCCTCAGTTCCTCCCTCAGTTCCTCCCTCAGTTCCTTCCTCCCTCAGTTCCTTCCTCCCTCAGGTTCCTCCCTCAGTTCCTCCCTCAGTTCCTCCCTCAGTTCCTCCCTCAGTTCCTCCCTCAGTTCCTCCTTCAGTTCCTCCCTCAGTTCCTCCCTCAGTTCCCCCTCAGTTCCTCCCTCAGTTTCTCCCTCAGTTCCTCCCTCAGTTCCTCCCTCAGTTCCTCCCTCAGTTCCTCCCTCAGTTTCTCCTTCAGTTCCTCCCTCAGTTTCTCCCTCAGTTCCTCCCTCAGTTCCTCCCTCAGTTCCTCCCTCAGTCCCTCCCTCAGTTCCTCCCTCAGTTCCTCCCTCAGTTCCTCCCTCAGTTCCTCTCTCAGTTCCTCCCTCAGTTCCTTCCTCCCTCAGTTCCTCCCTCAGTTCCTCCCTCAGTTCCTCCCTCAGTTCCTCCCTCAGTTCCTCCCTCAGTTCCTGCCTCAGTTCCTCCCTCAGTTCCTCCCTCAGTTCCTCCCTCTGTTTCTCCCTCAGTTCCTCCCTCAGTTCCTCCCTCAGTTCCTCCCTCAGTTTCTCCCTCAGTTCCTCCCTCAGTTCCTCCCTCAGTTCCTCCCTCAGTTCCTTCCTCCCTCAGTTCCTCCCTCAGTTCCTCCCTCAGTTCCTCCCTCAGTTCCTCCCTCAGTTCCTCCCTCAGTTCCTCCCTCAGTTCCTCCCTCAGTTCCTCCCTCAGTTCCTCCCTCTGTTTCTCCCTCAGTTCCTCCCTCAGTTCCTCCCTCAGTTCCTCCCTCAGTTTCTCCCTCAGTTCCTCCCTCAGTTCCTCCCTCAGTTCCTCCCTCAGTTCCTTCCTCCCTCAGTTCCTCCCTCAGTTTCTCCTTCAGTTCCTCCCTCAGTTTCTCCCTCAGTTCCTCCCTCAGTTCCTCCCTCAGTTCCTCCCTCATTCCCTCCCTCAGTTCCTCCCTCAGTTCCTCCCTCAGTTCCTCCCTCAGTTCCTCTCTCAGTTCCTCCCTCAGTTCCTTCCTCCCTCAGTTCCTCCCTCAGTTCCTCCCTCAGTTCCTCCCTCAGTTCCTCCGTCAGTTTCTCCCTCAGTTCCTCCCTCTGTTTCGCCCTCAGTTCCTCCCTCAGTTCCTTCCTCCCTCAGTTCCTTCCTCCCTCAGTTCCTCCCTCGGTTCCTCCCTCAGTTCCTCACTCCTCAGTTCCTCCCTCAGTTCCTCACTCCTCAGTTCCTCCCTCAGTTCCTCCCTCAGTTCCTCCCTCAGTTCCTTCCTCCCTCAGTTCCTCCCGCAGTTCCGTCCTCCCTCAGTTCCTCCCTCAGTTCCTCCCACAGTTTCTCCCTCAGTTCCTCCCTCAGTTCCTCCCTCAGTTCCTCCCTC